CAATTAAATTAAACATAATCAATATTTTTAAACATAATTTTGATAACCTTAAGAAATGAAATAGTGACCAAAACATATGAATTAGTAGATATAAACACATCCCGTTTCAATATTAAAAAAAAAATCATTTTAAAATATCTAATTATAATTATTAAATAGATAAAATATAATATAAATTTTAATTTTATCAAATTTATCACATAATTATTATAAGATATTTTAATATTTTTAATATAATACACACATACAATGTTAAACCAAACTTTCAAATCCAATATTTAGATTTAATTAATCAAAAGTTTAATTTTTACTAATAATTTAAAAAAATTCTCTTATTTTTCACAATTTTCTCATGTTCAAAAATAAAAAATATTTATATATACATACAACGCCGCTAAATAAAATCAATTATATTATTTATATGTCATTTTCAGGTTTAAACACGTGGAAATATCGGAAAATTTGACCCACCCTGCATAAGAGGAACTAATTAATGAGGTATATCAATAATTTTTTTTTTTTTTTTAAATTGTGGTGGAAACAGACTCAAAAACTGTATTCCATTTGATTCATTTCTCTCAAAGTAAATTCCTCTATCTCTCTCCTAAGATTCAGTGCATGACAATTCAGCATAGCTTTCAGGTCGGGGTGTTTTATGGATTGAAATTGAAATAACCAAAATTTCAAATCTAATTGAAAATTTTGGTTCAATTAAATGTGTAATTTGGTTTTAAACTGAATTTAACTGAATTAAAAGTCACTGATTTAATTAAATTATTAATTTTTATTAACCCTTGTATCCAACCCCTATTTTTTCATTTACATAATTTAAATTCAAAATTTTATTTAAAAAAAATTAAATTTTTTTATTCAGATTAACAGATTATTAGTTCATTAAATTAATAAATAAAAAAAACAAATTTAATCAAACCAAACCAAACTGAATTTTTCTAATACAACAATCAGAATTTCATTTGTAATTTTTATAAAATTTGAACATTTTGGTTAAATCTAAACTAAACCAAAAATTTTGGCTAACTAAACCAAATATCAGAATTTATAATTTAATTTGGATTTGGTTACATATATATTAACCAAAAAAATTCAGTTAACCAGAAAAGTTTTGGTTTAGACACCAAACCGATACCCAGCCCGAATAGTTTCCACATAAAAATCCAAATATCTTTTTTTTTTTTTTTTTTT